GTTGTGTTTTTGTGTGTGGGCGCTGAGAGGAAGCGCCTGAGGAGCGCGAGCGCGCGAGTGAGCGTTCGCCGAGAGCGAGAAGAGAGAGAGAGAGAGAGACTCGTTGTGTGTTTTGTGGTGTGTGTGTTTGTGTGTGTTGTGTGTGTGGTGTGTTGTGTTGTGTGTGGTTTGAGAGAGAGACATAAGTGAGTCTGTGTTCTATCAGGTCCAGTAATTGGAGAGCATGTCTGCTATGAAAGCATGACGGTCTCTTTCCTCTATATACACAAACAGAATTAGCCCTCAATAGCACAAAGACTGCTACAGAGACAACTGACCATGATGACGGTGACCATTACTGGAGGTCTTTGTCTCAATGCGAACATGTTTATTGACACTTCACAGTCTCGTCCACCAGCCCGGATCGTTGCCTACTGGTTAAAGGGGCGATCAGCAGTTGCTACATCCATTTTTGGACTTGTAAATTAATATGTACCCCATTGATTCTTGAAGAATACAACTTATAAATGCCTCATGAGCTCAGTTCAACTCGCATACTCCATCAGAACCCAAAATGGAAGCTTGTTTTACAATATAAACAGACACTGTATAGCTTCAAAACATTGGGCTCAATTCAACCTGTCAAGCTGAAGTGGTAAAGACTGTGTGATAGAAATGTAAAGGTCATATGTGGGTTGACTGTGAACGCAGTCTCCGCCAACACAAGAACATACATTTCAATCACGCATCAACCTTGAACTTCCGCGATACGGATTGAACAGAGCCCATGGTTAAAACTATAATATTGATATTGTGGATGGTCAGTCCTTTCACCTATAGCTCTGTCTATGTATTTGAGAGTGGTTACATTTTACAGTCGTGTGAGACGGACTTTAATAATGAGAAGAATATGGATCATCAATACAATAGCATCGGCTGTGACTGAAATGGTTGTATTACGAAGAGCATGGACCAATTAACCTATTAATATATGTTTTATCTATGGCTATGCGTCACGATCGTCGGATACAGAGGACCAAGGCGCAGCGTGGAAGGCGAACATACTTTTATCTATTAGAATAATCACCCGAAGAAAACAACAAATCGATACGTGACGTCCTCGGTTCAAAGACAAACCTACACTGGAACAAAAGATCCCACATAAAACAATGCCAAACGGCTACCTAAGTATGGCTCCCAATCAGAGACAACGAGCTACAGCCGTCTCCGATTGGGAGCCACCCTGGCCAACATAGAAATACAAAACTAGAACAAACAAAGAAAACTCACACCCTGGCTCAACATACAAGCGTCCCCAGAGCCAGGGCGTGACACTATGAGTATTCAATCTGTGACAATCCCATTCCATTATTAACTGATCCTTCTCTGCCCTCAGGGTTATTGACATGGTATTGTGGGCTACTATATTGTTGATGTGCCATATGCTGTTGGATCAAAACATCGCCTTTCTGTTCTAATAAACACACCAAAAGCAATTACATGTCTTTATTGCATGGGAAAAAGTACAACTCCAGCATGTAAAGCACACTGTAAAGGGGTTACTGTGAATTTGGCAGTAGTTTACAGTCAGCTTGTGGAAGATAGCCCTATTTGGTAAAATACCAAATCCATATTATGGGAAGAACAGCTAAAATAAGCAAAGAGAAACAACAGTCCATCATTACTGTAAAACATGAAGGTTAGTCAATATAGAACATTTCAAGAACTTTGAACGTTTCTTCAAGTGCAGTCGCAAAAACCACGAAGCGCTATGATGAAACTTTCTCTCATGAGGACCGCCACAGGAATGGAAGACCCAGAGTTACCTCTGCTGCAGAGGAAAATTTCATGAGAGTTACCAGCCTCAGAAATTGCAGCCCAAATAAATGCTTCACAGAGTTCAAGTAACAGACACATCTCAACATCAACTGTTCAGAGGAGACCGCGTGAATCTGGCCTTCATGGTCAAATTGCTGCAAAAAAAACACTACTAAAGGACACCAATAATAAGAAGAGACCTGCTTGGGCCAAGAAACACAAGCAATAAACATTAGACCGGTGGAAATGTGTCCTTTGGTCTGGAGTCCAAATTTGAGATTTTTGGTTCCAACCGCTGTGTCTTTGTGAGACGCGGTGTGGGTGAACGGATGATCTCTGCATGTGTATTTCCCACCGTAAAGCATGGAGGAGGTGTTATGGTGTGGGAGTACTTTGCTGGTGACACTGTCTGTGATTTATTTAGAATTCAAGGCACACTTAACAAACATGGCTACCACAGCATTCTGCAGCGATACGCCATCCCATCTGGTTTGGGCTTAGTGGGACTATCATTTGTTTTTGAACAGGACAATGACCCAACACACCTCCAGGCTGTGTAAGGGCTATTTTACCAAGAAGGAGAGTGATGGAGTGCTTCATCAGATGACCTGACCTCCACAATCCCCCAACCTCAACCCAATTAAGATGGTTTGGGAATGAGTCGGACGGCAGAGTGAAGGAAAAGCAGCCAACAAGTGCTCAGCATATGTGGGAACTCCTTCAAGACTGTTGGAAAAGCATTCCAGGTGAAGCTGGTTGAGAGAATGCCAAGAGTGTGCAAGCTGTCATCAAGGCAAAGGGTGGCTATTTGAAGAATGTCAAATATAAAATATATTTTGATTTGTTTAACACTTTTTTGGTTACTACATGATTCCATATGTGTTATTTCATAGTTTTGATGTCTTCACTATTATTCGACAATGTGGAAAATAGTAAAAATAAAGAAAAACCCTTGAATGAGTAGGTGTGTCCGAACGTTTTTGAATGGTACTGTATATCCTCAGATTTTACTGGTCTGTTTTGGCTCTTCTGCATCACTGAACCATCTTGACCATGGTTCCCCAACTGGAGGCCTGAGGGTCGTTTTAATTGACCCCCCCCCCCCCCCCCCCCCCCCCCCCCCCCCCCAAGTTTTCTGAGAAACATGTATTATTATTATTATTATTGTTATTATTATTATTATTATTGTTATTATTATTATTATAATTATTATCATTGTTATAATTATTATTTGTATTATTATTTCATTGTTGGAAAAACGACTGTAAAAACAAATCAGCAAATCAGCTTCAGGTGATTTTAATTTTAGAACTCTTGTTCCCAACTATTATAATAGAGAGACACTTGATTTTATACAAATGTTGCAAGGTTTTGAATTATTATGTTTTAGTCAAATTTTATATCTGTTTGGGCTTCTTGTTGTCAATTTGCAGTCTACAAATTAATTTGTAAATATGTTCCAGCCCCCCCGACCATCCGCTCAAGAAAAAAATCGTCCCGCAGCTGAATCTAGTTGATGATCCCTGTTCTTAATAATAACAATATGCCATTCAGCAGACGCTTTTATCCAAAGCGACTTACAGTCAGTGTGTGCATACATTTTTACGTCTGGGCGGTCCCGGGGATCGAACCCACTACCCTGGCGTTACAAGCGCCGTGCTCTACCAGCTGAGCTACAGTTCCTTATAACTTAAGGCTGCATAAAACAAATGTTCTTCTTAATAACCTTTTGGTTTTAACTATGTTATAATCATATCCTACACAAGGTTATATCTCCCTGGATAAATACAGGTGAAGGGAGACCTAATTGATGCTATATTAGACACCTCTCTTTGTCATGGTAAAACTGACACCTATTGAATTTGCAGAGATGGAGACTTACCTGTCAATACATAGCACCGTTACAATCCCCACGGTAGTGAACTGGTTGCTAACGTCCACCACCACGACAGCTTTGCACATGAAGTTCCCGAACACCCACTGTCTGTCCCGGACCAGCTGGTGAATGTTGAAGGGCATCACCAGCAAGAACAGCATATCTGCGATGGCCAAGTTCAGCACATAGATGTCCGAGACCATCTTCTTCTTGCATGTCGCCACTGCGTAAATCACCAAACCGTTGGCGATCACTCCTATCGTGCACAGGATGCCGTATATGGACGGGAAGATGTGCATAAAAGTCGCCAGGTCGATAAAGCTGGGTGAAGATCGAGTCGTGCTCACACATGACGAGTTGTTGGTGAAGTTACCAACTTCTTCGTAATTACAAAATATGTCCGAGCTATTCATAATCATCTTTAGATCTTCAGATATTTGCCGCTCTGGTCGGGATTGATAACGCGCGGGTCAGTATAAGGCTATAGATAAGCACCAACACTGCCAAGCCGACAAAAGTCATAATGTACTGGCTTCCATCCACATTTCGAGCGGCACAACTTGGACACCTCTTCTGGATAAGCTGCAGCGCGCGTATCCTTTGGTTGACGCACTTCTTTAGATTATCTTGTAATGGACTACAGCACAAGTAGAGTATGTGTTTCAATGAGATTCTGCTGAAGGATCATTCCCACCAAATTTGGGAACAAGCTGATACGTCATGAAGAACACATTCTTCACCCGGGAAGCCGCTACCTTTCTGGACTTGGACCTCCCTGTGCATCTCCGCTGCGCTCTCTCCCTACCAAATAGCTCCCTTCGCCGACTCAGTGAACGATAAGACAATCCGATAGTTGTCTCCTCCCTTCAAAAGATCATCCTCCTACTATAAATGGTTGATCTGTTTCTTGCTCTGAAAAACAACTAATCCACGCACCCTGTTATGCATATCATGAGTAAATTGACTGCCACGATGTTTTGATTACATGTTGCTTCATCCGGAACAACAGCATCAATGACACACTGTTGTTGCCTAATATCATTTAGGCCTTTTATACGTCAATCACATAATTACAGATCGGTCATATACAGCCAATGATTCAATGAAGAATCATTCAACAACTAGACATTATTTTTGTCAACAGATCCTTTGGTATGTTACAAATGAAACAGATCCTTTAGTTTGTTATACATTAAACATATCCTTTAATATGTTATAAATGAAAAATATTCTTTAGTTTGTTATAAATGAAACAGATCCTTTAGTATGTTAGAAATGAAACAGATCCTTTAGTATGTTATAAGTGAAACAGACCCTTTACTATGTTATAAATGAAACAGATCCTTTAGTTTGTTATAAATGAAACAGATCCTTTAGTATGTTATAAATTAAACATATCCTTTGGTATGTTATAAATGAAACAGATCCTTTAGTATGTTATATATGAAACAGATCATTTGGTAAGTTATAAATGAAACAGATCCTTTAGTATGTTATAAATGAAACAGATCCTTTAGTTTGTTATACATTAAACAGATCCTTTAATATGTTATAAATGAAACAGATTATTTAGTTTGTTATAAATGAAACAGATCCTTTAGCATGTTATAAATGAAACAGATCCTTTAGTTTGTTATAAATGAAACAGATCCTTTAGTATGTTATAAATGAAACAGATCCTTTAGTATGTTATAAATGAAACAGATCCTTTAGTTTGTTATAAATGAAACAGATCCTTTAGTATGTTATAAATTCGACTTGATTTGCCATAAACATTGTCAATTAATTATAATCGACACGGCCTAGTGACTGCCTAGTGACTGCCTAGTGACTGCCTAGTGACGGCCTAGTGACAGCCTAGTGACTGCCTAGTGACTGCCTAGTGACTGCCTAGTGACTGCCTAGTGACGGCCTAGTGACTGCCTAGTGACTGCCTAGTGACTGCCTAGTGACTGCCTAGTGACTGCCTAGAGACTGTAATGAATACTCAGGGAGAAAAAGGTGTAGATTCACGTGCAGAGTGCAGCAGGTGTTTATTTCCCCTTCGCAGAAGGCAGGAATCGTGGTCACAGGCAGGCAATGGTCATACACAGGTAGGCAAACAGGCAGGATAATCAAAAACTAGGACTGAAGGCTGTAACTGGTTCTCACAAACGAGCTAGGAAAAGGCTAAGTAGAGTCAAAACGAACAATACCTCACAAGGCACAAACAGAAAGAACTGAACTAAATAAGGAGCTGATGAGACCAGGTGAGTAACTAACACAGGTGAAATGAATGAACAAAAATGAAAGACAGGGCTACGTTCAAGTACACTGTCAGGGCGACGTGTATGCGGTGAGCGAAGTCAAGCGCAGGACACCAAGCTACTGGCAGACAAACTTTACTAGCACAGTAATCAAAATACAAACAAAACCTCCAAACAGGGAGGAAACAAAATACGCATACACCCGAACACTGCAGACCTCACGGGAAACAATCACACACAATAACCAATGAGAGACAGGGGGTTATAAAGGGAATACAATATAACATAATGGGAAACAGGTGAAAACAATCAGGACAAACTAGACAAACACCGAAACATAGATCGGTGGCAGCTAGTACTCCGGGGACGACGAACACAGAAGCCTGCCCGAGCAAGGAGGAGGGGCAGCCTCAGCTGATTCCGTGACAGTACCCCTCCCTTGACGCGCGGCACCAGCCGTGCGCCGACCCCGGCCACCGGTGCCACCAGACAAGACTCCGGGTGTATGGGAGTGGGCTCAATGGACCTCTCCTCTGTGTCATATAGTCGGGACAGGGCGTCTGCCTTAGCGTTCTGTGACCCTGGTCTATAGGTGAGCTTAAATACAAATCGGGAGAGAAACATAGACCACCTTGCCTGGCGAGGGTTCAGCCTCCTCGCTGCCCGGATGTACTCCAGGTTACGATGGTCAGTCAGAATGAGAAAAGGGTGTTTAGCCCCCTCAAGCCAATGCCTCCACACCTTCAGGGCTTGAACCACAGCTAACAGCTCCCTGTCCCCCACGTCATAATTGCGCTCCGCCGGACTGAGCTTCTTAGAATAGAAAGCACAGGGGCGGAGTTTTGGTGGCGTACCCGAGCGCTGAGACAGCACAGCGCCGATCCCAGCCTCGGACGCATCCACCTCAACTTGAAACGCCAAAGAGGGATCCGGATGTGCCAGCACCGGAGCCGAGGTAAACAGGTCCTTCAGATGTCTAAACGCCCTCTCCGCCTCAGCCGACCACTGCAGACGCACCGGACCCCCCTTTAGCAGGGAGGTAATGGGAGCTGATACCTGTCCAAAGCCCCGGATAAACCTCCGGTAGTAATTGGCAAAACCCAAGAACCGCTGCACTTCCTTCACCGTGGTGGGAGTCTGCCAATTACGCACGGCAGAAACGCGGTCAATCTCCATCTCCACCCCTGACGCGGACAACCGATGTCCCAGGAAGGAGATGGACTCCTGGAAGAACAGACATTTCTCCGCCTTCGCATACAGGTCATGCTCTAACAGTCTACCAAGCACTCGACGCACCAGGGACACATGCTCGGCTCGTGTAGCGGAGTATATTAGAATGTCATCAATATACACCACTACACCCTGTCCATGCAAGTCCCGGAAAATCTCGTCCACAAATGATTGGAAGACTGAAGGTGCATTCATTAAACCGTATGGCATGACGAGATACTCATAGTGACCCAAGGTGGTACTGAATGCTGTCTTCCACTCATCTCCCTCCCTAATGCGCACCAGGTTGTACGCGATCCTGAGATCCAATTTTGTGAAGAATCGCGCCCCGTGTATTGACTCCGTCATACTAGCAATCAGAGGGAGAGGATAGCTGTATTTGATTGTGATCTGATTGAGACGACGGTAATCAATACACGGGCGTAAACCCCCATCCTTCTTCTTCACAAAAAAGAAACTCGAGGACGCAGGGGAAGTGGACGGCCGTATGTATCCCTGTCTCAGAGATTCGGTGACGTATGTCTCCATAGCCGCTGTCTCCTCCTGAGACAGAGGATACACATGACTACGCGGAAGCGCAGCGCCTACTTGGAGGTCTATCGCACAATCCCCCTGTCGATGAGGTGGTAATTGAGTCGCCTTCTTTTTACAGAAGGCGAGTGCCAAATCGGCATACTCAGGTGGAATGTGCATGGTGGGAACTTGGTTCGGGCTTTCCACCGTCGTTGCCCCTACGGAAACACCTACACACCGCCCGAAACACTGATCAGACCATCCCTTGAGAGCCCTCTGTTGCCATGAAATGTTGGGGTCATGAGATGTTAACCAGGGAAGCCCCAACACCACGGGAAATGCAGGAGAATCAATCAAATACAAACTTAGTTTCTCCTCATGGCCCTCCTGCGTTTTCATCCTGAGAGGCGCTGTGACTTCCCTAATCAATCCTGACCCCAAAGGGCGGCTATCTAGGGCATGGATGGGGAAGGGCACATCAACAGGTACAATAGGAATCCCTAACTTATAGGTGAATTGGCGATCGATAAAATTCCCAGCTGCGCCTGAATCTACTAGCGCCTTATGCTGAGAGTGAGGAGAAACCTTGGGAAATACAACTTTAATACACATATGCGCAACAGAGAGCTCTGGGTGAATTGGTTGCCTACTCACCTGGAATGACTCATCAGTGCGCTGCCTACTGCCTCGATTCCTAGGAGACCCTCCCCAGCACCGACCAGCAGTGTGTCCTCTGCGGCCACAGTTGGTGCAGGGGACGGCCTCCCTCCTGGTCTCTCTCCTGGTCTCCCTAGCACCAGCACCTCCGAGCTCCATAGGGGTCCATAGTGGATAAAGTAATCCTTCTACCCCCCCCCCCCCCCCCCCCCCCCCCCCCCCCAAAAAAAAAATTGGTAAAGTGATTATCCCACTGGCTATAGGGTGAACGCACCAATTGGTGAGTCGCTCTGGATAAGAGCGTCTGCTAAATGACGTAAATGTGCCCTTGAGCAAGGCACTTAGCCCTAATTGCTCCTGTAAGTCGCTCTGGATAAGAGCGTCTGCTAAATTACTAAAATGTAATGTAAATGTAAATGTAAATGTAATGTAAATGGGTCGGCTCGGAAGTGCTGGGGGATGGAATGGACGGCCCTGAATCCAGACGTCCGCGGGTAGCCAACAGGGTATCCAGGCGAATGGACATGTCCACCAGTTGGTCGAAGCTGAGGTTGGTGTCCCTGCAGGCCAATTCCCGATGCACGTCCTCCCTCAGGCTACATCTGTAGTGGTCGATGAGGGCCCTCTCATTCCATCCCGCGTTGGCAGCCAGCGTCCGGAAGTCCAGCGCGAACTCCTGTGCGCTCCTCATCCCCTGTCTAAGGTGGAATAAACGCTCACCCGCCGCTTTACCCTCTGGTGGATGATCGAATACTGCCTTGAAGCGGCGGGTG